CACTCTGAGACCCCTAGAATATCCAGAAAACATAGTCATGAAGAATAGGCTGGAGGTCTAGAGTATGTCTAATGCAAAAGCCTGGGTAACAGGAGTATTTTTTCTTGAGGGGATCAGGGAGGCTTTCGTCCTACTGTTAAATATCTAGAGGACACAGGTTTACCACTCAAGGCTCTCCTCATCATGGACAATGCTCCTGTTCAACCGTGAGATTTGGAAGAACTGACCAAAGAATTTCCATGCCTTTCAGTCAAGTTCCTCCCATCTAATAAAATTCCTCTACTGCAGCCTATAGACCAGCAGGTTATACCTAACTTTAAGAAGCTATATGCCAAGGCACTGTTCCTAAAGTGATTTCAGATGGTCTCAGATACAGAACTAACCCTTAAAGAGTTCTGGAAGGAACATTATAACATCATTTCCTATGCAGGGTTAATTGAGAAATCCTGGGCTAAGGTCTCTCTAAGGACACGGAGATTTGCCTGGAAGAAAGTGTGGCCTAAAATTATACGGGAGACTTTGAAGGCTGTGTAGAGGAGCCTGAGCCTTCAATTGACCCTGTGGTTGATGACAGTGTCACTACAGAGGAGTCCACAGGCTTGCAGGAAGATAGTGGTGATGTTGACGAACTGTGGAGGAACACTCAGAGGAATTATCTACAGAGGAACCGCAGCAACTTCTGGTTAAGCAACAAAGAATAGCAGGTAAGGAGCCTTCTGAAGAGAAGGGGGAGTTATCAACAACCAGTGCAGCAAACTCCTTCTGAAATAAAGGAAATCTTGAAAAAATGGACAGAGCTACAAACATTTGCACAGAAGACCCACCTAGACAGAAAAAGTCAATTGTTGCATTCACTTGCTTAATGACAATGTCATGTCATGCTACAGAACATAGTTAAAGAAAAGACAGAAACAGACAACCTTGGAGCAGTTTTTAGTTCTGAAAAAGTTAAGACCTAGTGAACCAGAAGCAGGTCCTAGTGGGCTACAGACTCTCCTAAGGAGCCAGATTCCTGACGTTCTTATGGAAGAGCACTCTCCTTCTAAACAATAACCACTTTCCATTTCATCCTCCCTTCGTGTAAGCCAAAGATGTCAACTTGAATAGTGAGTGCAGTAGGAAATTGTTGTTTCTGGTAAACAAAGCACATTTTATAACTTTTTGGTGAATACACTAGGAAATTTATTAATGTTTCTGGTAAATTATGCACATTAAACAACCCTTTTTTATTATGAAAAGGTTAGTTAGGGGGTGCTTTGGGAGGTTTGGAACATATTACGGGTATTCCCAATATTTTTTAAGAGAAAAATAGTCTTGACTTACAACCAATTTGAGTTACAACCAGCCCTCATAAATGAATTGAGTTCATAAGTCAAGGATTCACTGTAACTGCTGCCCATGAAATAAAGTCTATATCCTCAGGGTCAGATTTAACACCCTGAAAACACTCTACCGCAACTGGCCCTCTTCACATCATACTTCACATCACAGCTTCATGCTATGGGAATGTGAGCTAATATAAAGCTAATAATTGGGCTGCTACTGCTATAACTAAGAACAAGTCAGGGGCAGGGCTTGTTTTGTTTTGTTTGCGGTACTGGGGGTTGAACCCAAGGCCTCCACAGTGAGCTACATTCCGAACCCGTTATTTTTTATTTCCAGGCAAGGTCTTTGCTAAGTTGCTAAGTTACTCAGGCTGGGCTCAAACTTGCAATAATCTTGACTAAACCACCCAGAGTTCTGGGATTCCAGGAGTACACCATCACACTGGCATTTTGGTTTTGCCCATAGGATTTTATGTCTGTTGGCAGCAACAACAAAACTGTAGTAGACTGACATGTCAGCTTAAAAGTAGTGGAAAACCCCAGGCCCTTCATGTTCTTTACACTTCCAAGCATAATTCCAAGGGGACTGGATGAGGAAAAAGATGTAGTGTGTGGTCACTGCAGGGTAAAGGACAAATGTAGAAAAGAAAAGCCAAATATCCACCAAAAATCTCTAGAATTCTCACATTTTGACCTTTCTTGAATAAATACACTACAATTCAATCAGCTCTATGACCAACAGCAAGGGTTTCAACAAACTCTTTGGAAACTAAATAGTGCTTTTTATAGCCTAGCAAAGTACGGCTCTGACAAGAGAAAAAAGAAAAGAAAAAGAGAAAAGAAATCCAAACACAGAGAGAAAAGTGCAGTGGCAGAAACTGCAGATTGGTTCATCAACACGTACTCCAACCCTCTTCTAGGGAAGATCTGGTCAACAAGAGGGGACAGTCACACATAATAAAGACAGGACTTTGACAGAGTTTCTCTTAGGACAGCTGTGGCAGAAGGTCTCTCTGTCCCTAGTGTCTCATGTGCTGGCCCGGGTATGTTTGGAACAGTGTTTTCATCAGAATGCTGCTGGGACTGGTAGCATTTCTTCTTCATCATCACCCCGGAGTGTATGTTGTCCATACAGATTGCCCAGGCCTACCAAAAATTCTGTAAGATACTCAATACCACTTTCTGCTCAAACAGCCTAGAATGGATGGGTTGCTTATATCTGAAAAACCTCATCTGATATATTTGAGGAAAGAAAATAATGTACACTTATTTTAAGTCTGATATTTGTATTTATACTTTCTTTCCTGAAAATAAGATTCTCTAAGGCCTGAGTATAACTTTAAATTATTTCAGGTATGCATTTTTCATTTTCTTACTACATCATAAAAGGGAAAATATGGTCGATTCTACCATAATCATAATCAAACTACTACGAAATTCAGAAAAAATGAATTTAAACGATACTAACATGGCCCTGCACTTCTTGATGAAAACTGAGCTTTAAAAGCTGTATCAAAAATTTATTATAATATTTATAAAACATCAAAATTTACCAATACCACTAATTACAACAGACAATATAATTACTTGCACCTATGACAATTAGTTTCAAATATAATCATTCCCTAATCTTGACAAGTTTCTCAAGAATTGAACCAAACACATGATTTCCACATCTATCAACGAACAATGTTACTGCTAGCCAGCCCTGTACCTCAATTGGCTTATATATGCTAAATCAAAGAAGCCAGTCACAAAGAACCATATGTTATATTAGAAGATAGTATTTATATGAAATGTCTGTAATGTGCCAATGTTCAAAAACAGAAAGTAGGTGAGTAGGGAGCTAGGTTTACAGAGAATAGAGGAATTGTGGGGCTACAGCTAAGGGTGAGGGTTTTCTACTGAGAACAATAAAAATATTCTAAACTTAGCTGTGATTAAGCTTACACATCTGAATAAAAAACAATAAAAATACTTTAGGAAGTTATATGATATATAAATTCTACCGAAATAACACTTAAAAACATGAAACAACTTCAAAACTTTCAAATTTTTAAATAGAATTTTTAAAATTTCTTCAAGTCTTAATGCCTTAATCTTGTGCTGGGTGAGAAGCCTAGGACCAAATGAAAACAGAAATGATAAAAGCATCAGATGACAAATGACACACTAGACAAAGGGGAGAAGAAAAGAGACAGAAAATAAAGGAGAGAAAGAAAGGAGTCAGAAAATGAGATACAAGAAAAGAGACAGAGGGCTGGGGATTTAGCTCAGTGGTACCGTACCTGACTCGCAAGTGCAAGGTCCTGAGTTTGATCCCCAGTACCAAAAAAAAGAAAGAAAAGAGATGGAAGAAAGTAGTAGGAATAAAGGCAAGGTATGGTAATAGTATATGAATTCAAAGATCCCGGCACAGAAAGAAACTCAGGTGTCAGACATGGAAAACACAGAGGAGCCCCCAACTCCGTAGCCCTTTGACAAGCTCAGAATGAGTGAATGGGGCTCTTCCCACAGCCTCTAGATACAGGACCCATCCAATGCAAACTAATGTTCAAATCTTCCATCATGCCTATTGCCAAAAAAAAAAACACACACCCAACCACAGGGCCCCTCATCAGCCACTCACGCTATCATCTGATGTGTCATATGTTCATCAGTTTCACAGTTCCTCGGCCATCTGAGTTTTCTTTACCTGTCACCCATGTTAATTTTTCATTTTCACTTAATATTTATAAATTTTAATATTCAGCTTTTCTTTTCTCATCACAGCTAGTAACAATAAACTGACGAGGTATATAGAGTTGTTCAAATTTAAAACTGCAACTTTTTACGCATGAAAACTTTTACATATAAAACAGATTTACTTCATATCTATTAATACACTGGTTTCCACACTTTTGCTCATTAGAAACACCAGAGGATCCTTTTTTAAAACTCTCAAAGGCCAGGTCACAACCAGGCCAAATGAACTTTAAAAGACTGAAAGTGAGAATTAGGATCAATACTTTTTTTAAAGATGCTCAGTTTTGATCATAACAATAATCACACCAATAAAAACCACATGTCTACTTTTTTAAAGCAGAAACTAAATGAATATTAATTATGCAGCTTGGAAAGTAAATTGGCTAAGTCTAAATGTGACTTTAAGGGGGAAAACGTATTTTAGAACATCTATAACCTTTGAGTTTCATTGTTACTAAAGGAAACAATGTTTCATTTCTGAAAAATAAAATAATGAAGTCATAATTTACATAATGGGCAAAATTGCTTTAAGGTTATAATTATCAGACTTATTGAATAAATAATTCATATTAATATAGGTTTTGTAGCGAAATCCAGTTATTTTACTGCTAGAAAAGAAGTAATCCTAGATGTTCACCAGGATGCATTTGTAAGAAAGATTATGATGTAATACAAATTGGAATTCTACATATTCATTAAAAATGCTATAAAATAATAAAATGACATGCAGTTTCATAACACGATGCTTACATATAAGCCAATCATTAATCAGTAACAAAACAATATGTATATCAATTAAGAATAGATGTTATAGGGCCGGGGATTTAGCTCAGTGGTTCCAGCGCATGCCTCACAAGCGCAAGGTCCTGAGTTCGATCCCTGGTGCCAAAAAAAAAAAAAAAGAATAGAGGTTATAGACATAAAACTTACTTGCAGTTGAATTGAATTGTGCCGAAGTCCTTCTACAATAGACGAAAATCTATCAATTTTTCTTTCTTCTCCAACTGAAGTTAAAGCTTCTAAAACTTCTTCAAGGCTATTAGAAATTTTGAGTCTATTAGTTAAATTGCAAGTAGCCATAATACAATTTTTTCACCCTGCTAAAGGAGTCGATATGTCAATAACATTTTAGAAGAAGCTTACAGAGTACCGAACAGATATCAAGCACTGTTCTAAATATGTTTTAATTCATTTATTCCCGACAATACCCTATGAAGATGGTGAGCAAGCAATTAAATCACACTTATCCATCACTATTTGAACCATTTGATAATTTTTTTATTTTTAATTGAAATAAAAATTGTACATATTTATAGGATGCCATGTGACATTCCAATACATGTATACATTATATAACACTAAAATCAAGGTAAGCGTATCTCCTTACCATTCATAATTTCTTTATGGTGAAAACATGTGAAATCCTTAATTTTAAAAAATATACAATATATTGTATCTAGAGACAGCCTATGGGAATTTTAATATATATAATAATTGTATGAGGTAGGTGCTATTATTTACCCATACTATAGATTTGGAAACTAAGACCGAAAAAGGTTAAGCACCTTGTTCAAAGTCTCACATCTACTAAATGGTGGAGCAAGGATTTGACAGACTGTGCAGCAAGGACTAAAATGCTCTTAAGCAATACACTCTTAATGCCTCTCAAATTGGTAGTGCTGTGACAGCAAAAATATAGAGCAGCGAGTTATTAATAAACAAATGTAAACTATAATAATTACACAAAAGCTATATTTTTCCTTCTGTTTCAAAGAATAGTTGCGGAACTAACTATTACAAAGACTTAGTTTGTGGGTGAAGGTGTGTAGTTGTGAATGTTACATCATTTTGATATACATTCTGAAGCCAAAAATAAAAAATATGGAAGAGTAAGAAGGAGGAGGAAAAAAAGAAAAGAGGGAAAACAGTTAAAGAAAGAGAAGGGAAAAGATGAGGATAGGAAAGGGCAAAAGGAAAGAAAAGGGAAGGAGAACAGAATAGGAAAAAGAAAGATGAGTCCAAGGGGAGAGAGAGAGGGAAGAAGAGGGAAGAAGAGGGAAGAGAGGTATTGAGAGAAAAAGGACGCTGGAGGAGAGAGGAAGAAAAGAAAGGGGAAGGGAGGTCAGAAATGTATGTATCAGGGCTGGGGATTTAGCTCAGTGGTTCCGCTGCCTGCCTTGCAAGCTCAAGGACCCGAGTTCAATCCCCGGTACCAAAAAAAAAAGAAAGAAATATATATATCAACATACATATATATCTGACCCACACTGACTCTTTGACATGCACACCAACATTTATATGGCCTTTGTAATTGGGAAAAGAAAAACACTAAAGCCAGATGCCTGACTTCTATACCTGGGACTCCAGTTGGGTTCAGCTAAACGCCTTTGACAGATACACACTACAGGTACATATTGAGGCAAAGAGCCAGGCCTCAAGTGGTGCGTCTGACTCTCTAACTAGACTAAGGATCAGACTAAGTCAGCTCAGTTCCACCTGCTTCAGGAGGATTTCCCCAAGGCTGATCTTTAAATGAATCCAAGAGGCCCCACATAAGGTATCTGCCTACGCTGTATGAGAGAAATATCTGTTCTGTTGGTTATTCAGTTTTCAGTCTTATCCTTCCTAAAAGACATTTTAAGTGCTTGCTTATAAGCAGAATCACAATCTTTTTTAAAAAATAAAAAAGCATATTATTGTCTTTAATATTTATAATAGTCTTTGAGTTACAGTGTTAACAAAGTAGTTAAGGTTTTTAAAGCTTCAGTATGTACTTTTTGACTAAAAACTTTATATACTCAACCAGTACAGTACTATTACATATGTAAATTTCTAAATCTGCCCTATAAATTTTTTTAAATAGTATTGTTGCTTTTTATAAGGAGATATACAAGACCCATAGTTTAAATTAATCCTATCTGAAAAAATTAGATACGAAAAAGAACACATTCATGTATTTTTTCAATCTTCATTTAAAACTTTTATTTTAGATTTGCATTCAAAATAGCTGTTTAAAATAAATATGATGAAGAAATCATTTTTTCACAGAAACATTTTATCCCATAACTTATATATCTATTAAGAGAAATAATTATTAAACATTTATATTCAGCAAATAAGAACCTAAATCAGCTGTTTAAGTATATTTCAAAATTTATTTAAATTCTAAAGTAGAACAGATGACATTAAAAACAAACTTTTTTTTTGGTACCAGGATTTGAACTTAGGACCTTGCACTTGCGAGGCAGGTGGCGGAACCACTGAGCTAAATCCCCGGCCCTAAAAAATAAACTTTTAAAAATTACTCTATGCCTAGGGATGGGGATGTAGCTCAGTAGCACCACGTTTGCCTGGTAAACGCAAGGTCCTGAGTTCTATTCCTGTTGGGAGTGAGAGGGAATTATTCTATACCTAGAGAAAAAAGTAGAGAATACTTACATGCTTTCCTCTCCTACAATGCAGACTGCAGAAAGGAGTTTAACCACATCTGTCATCACACTGGGATGCATGGGATCCATGGCTTTGGCCAATAAAGAAAGACTCCTCTCTTCACTCATAATTCTTTCCAAGCCATACTATCATGTTTTGGTAATAGAGGTTGAATATTAGGAGTTAGTTGGAAAATTAATGTTCTAAAGAAAATTCAGTTATTCAAAAAATTTTAGAGGATAATACATTTTTACACCTAGTAAAGCCTAAAAATATTTTTAAAAGACTTTGTAACACCCTGAAAAAAATCATATAAGTATTTACTTTATGTCAAAAACTATGGGTGCCGCGGATTTTAGCTCAGTGGTGCCTTGCCTGCCTGGCAAGCACAAGGTCCTGAGTTCAATCCCCGGTACCAAGAAAAAAACAAACAACAACCAAAAAAAACTATGGGACCCTACTGAAGTCCCATATAGAGAACTCATGAGATTTTTCCATCAGGAACACATAAAACAACCAGATATTAAAAGAGAAGCCATGAGGATCTTTTGCCTGGGAATGAAAGTTGGTAAGTAACCACAAGTAAACAGATCACCACTGTCCAAGAGAAATATAGTGTAAAAACCACATTACATGTAATTATGTTATTTTTTCAAGAAATAAATAAAACTTATTTTCAAGAAAATTAATCCAATATAACCAAACAGTAGGAAAACAATGTAAAACATTTTATTGGTGAGATAGTTCACTTTTTTCTTCCTAAGAACTGAAATCCAATTGTGCTTATGTAGCACATCTCAATTCAGACTAAACACATTCCAAAGCCATATTTGGCCACCATATTACACAGTACAATCCCACATGTTAGCACTTTGTATATGAGTGGGCAAAGGTAAAGGAAGATTTGGAAAGATACCAGGTAGAAAAATGCCATAAAGGGTATATGTATAAGAATATGTTTAAGAATGTATAAGAATGGTATTTATGTGGCATTTATGGTCAGGAAGACAATGCAGCTGTAATCTCTCTCTCTCTCTCTCTCTCTCTCTCTCTCTCTCTCTCTCTCTCTCACTCACACACACACACACACACACACACACACAGCGGATGATTTAGGATAAGGATAAAGTTTCTTTGCTTCTGCCATAAAGCTACATCCAAGTGTATATCCAAGTGGCAATAAACAATACTGTTTGCCTCTCATGCCTATCAGGGGATTCTTCTAAAGAGTGAAAAATTGGTTGATCAGAGTTATCACCCAGCACTAAAAAGGGGCCTCAATTCTAGTTATAAACATATCAGATGAAGCTCAAAATTAGCAGTATATTATAAGCACCAAAGTCAAATCTATAACAAACTTAGACCCAAGTGCTTCCATTATGAAGAAGTCCAATTAATATAACTTCCTTATCTTGTACGTGACACTTTTAGTAAAGAACACTTCTCACTGTACTGAAATACTGCATTTGTTTTAAGCCACTATCTAATGAACACAGATTCAATGGAGGAAGTACAAGCAGAACAGGCAAGGGCCTCATTCAGGACTGACTTCACTGTTTCATTGGTGATGGGAGAAGGTTTACAGAGACAATGAATTTAGTCAAGGACTGCTCACTTTTGTGATGCCCTGGGCTGTTATACAACTGGAACTAGAGAATGAATAAACAGGCATAGAGTAAGAAACTGGAATATGTCTCAGTAATCATTACAGTGAATTGTTAGCAGCTTATCAGGCACCATTCAGAACAGTATTCAGAGGTGGGAATTTTAGAAGGTGACTTAATTATGGGGGTGCTATGATCACCAGAGGAATGATCCACTGATGAGTTCATAGTTGAATGTGCTTTTAGGAATGGAGCCCAGGCAGAGGAGGCAGATTACTGGGAGCATGCCTTTGAAGGTGCTTTTTCTCTCCTCTCTCTTTCTTTCCTCTCTTCACTCTCCTCCCTTTCTCTCTTACCTCTCCTCGTTTTCTCCCCCTCCTCTCTCTCTCACCTCTTCTGTCTTTCCCCTCTCCTTGCTCTCTCCTCTTCTCTTTTTCCCTTATCTCCCATTCCCCTCTCTCCCCAACTCTCTCTACCCTCCTACCTTTCTGTTTTCTGCACACCATGAATAGAGCAGCTTTTCTCTGCCATACTCTTCCACCATGCCATTTCTGCCTTTGGACCCACCTGACCATGAACTGAAACCATGAGCAAAAATAAACCTTTCCTTTTAAGTTGCAGGTGTTGGGTATTCCATCCCAGTGACAAGAAAGTAATACAGAAAATTGGTACCTAGAGGGGGGTTGTTGCTTGACTGTACCTGACCATGTGATTCGGAAGCCGTTTGCACTAGTTTCTGGGAGGATTTTAGAAAAGTTCAGAGGTGCCGTCTAGAAAAGTTTTAGAATGCTGAGGCAAGGATTGAAATGAGATTCTGTTGGGAGATAGAAATGTGGGCAGTTTTAAAGGTCAGACTCATAAGGTTTTGGCTAGGAATTGAGAGTACTATTAGGAACTGGAGGAGAAGCCTTGTGTGTTACATTTTGACAACAAATTATGTACATTTTGCCAATATTCTAAGACATCGTGGGACCCTGCATTTAAAGGTGGAAGATTAGTTAATCTAACAGAGGAAATTTCAAGGCAGCCTAATGTTAAACCTGTGGTATGGATACTGCTGGCTGATTTCAGCCAGATTTACAATGAGAATCAGGAGCAAAAGGCAGAGCCAAAACATGTGAACAACTGTTTTGTGTAAAGTTGTTCAGTGTAAAGTTGGGACTGCATAAGGTATGGTTGCTGAAAATTTTAGAGCCAATAAAAGCCAAGTACTTTACACCTGAACAACAAGAAAGATTCCTTGAAAGGATCTCAAGAATTGGCTAGATTCTATTCATCATAAGCTCAAGAGTGTAAAAGAGTAAGCTCTTTTAAGAGACTCTGCTTTGAGAATAAAGCCCCATGGCACCCTGCTCACTTAGAGCTTCTAGTTTTAACCATCCAGGCACTTAGAGGCTACTACAACAATGGTCCAAAGGAGCCTGGTTACTGCTTGAGCTGGTGGCCAACCTTGGCATAATCCCTGTAGGGCTGGCTTTCCAGACATACAAAGTGCAAGAGTTTTGCAGTCACCAAGGCTTCCATCCAAATTTTAGAAGAAAAATCTAAGAGGCCAGGCAAAAATGTGTGACAGGGTCAGAATCTCTGCAAGGGACTATTAGAGTTAAGCCAAACCGTGCAGTGCAGACCCCAGGAATTTGGAGATGCCAGGAATATGGAGTTTCTGCCAGGGAAAGGCACATGCAGTGAGAGATGTCAGCAGCAGAGAGAGGTCATCTGGGTTGCAACCAGCTAGCCACAAGAGTGAGGCTGTCCAAGCCCTCTGGAGTTCATATTTCACTATCACGTGTTGGAGATGGAGTTACAGGGCTTAATATTTGACTAGCTGGTTTTAGTCTTGTTTTGGTCAAGACTTCCTTTCTATGCCTCTATTCCTCCTCTTAAGAATGGGAATGTTTATCCTTTGCCACTATACGCTGGAAGTATTTAACTTTCTTTTTTACTTTTACAGAGGCTCACAGATAAGAATTTGCTTTGAGTCTCAGAAGAAACTTTGGACTTGTACTTTTGAGCAATAGTGGAACTTGTTAAGACTTTGGTGATCTTTGGGCCAGGGATTTAGCTTAGTGGTTCTGCCACCTGCCTTGCAAGCTCAAGGACTCAAGTTCAATCCCTGGTACCAAAAAAAAAAACAAAAAAAACAAAGACTTTGGTGATCCTTAGATATGGACAAAAAGCATTTTGCATAATGAGATGGACAGGATGAAACGTTATAGTTAAGATCTAAAATGTTTCACCAAAGTTACATACGTTCAGAAGTGGACTTTTGGAAAGTAATTGGATCATGGGGATATTATATTCGTTGATGGATTAATACATTCATGAGTTCATAGTTGACTGTGCCATTGAGAGGTAGTGCCTAGGTAAAGAAGGCAATCAGTGAGGTCATGCCATTGGATGTGATATCTCTCTCTCTCTCAAGCATTTAATATATTCTCTCTCTCCTCATGCTTTCCCTCCCTCTACTTTCCTTTCTCCTCACTCTCTCCTTTCCTGCCTCCTTTCTCTGCTTTCTGATCATCATGAATTAAGCAATTATCGTCCACCAGGCCATTCCACCATGCTGTTTCTGTCTTGGAACAAGCCAACCATGGACTGAACCCACTAAAACTGTGAGCCAAAATAAACATGGCCTTTAAGTTGCAGGTTTTGAGTATTTTGTTCTAGCAAAGGGAAAGTAACTTATACAACATTCCACATCACTTTAACCATGATATTCTTCTTAAATTCAAATTATGATCCACATGCCCCTGTGGTTTTCTCTGCTCTTGTCCTTTCCATTACCAATGAAATTTCCAATTTCTGTATTTTCAGTTTAGAAGGATTTTCCTGAAGAATTCTATGTATGCAGGGGAAGAGATTGCTTCCGTATCAGGAGTTTATCTTTTTGTTATCCATTTACTCTTGAATTATACAAAAAACACTGGCTAATATGTCTAAAATCTAATTATTAAAGAATAGTGAAATCAGTATAAAAAGAACTTGTGATTTTTATTTTACTTGAAAATGACTGAATCTGATTTGAAGGGATAAGGAAAGAAAAATATTACATTGGTTAAAAATAGAATACTTAGCTCCAGAAAATTTTTCAAATACAGTACATAAATAATTCAAAACATACAAATATTTAGAAAATATATTTACTATAGTTAATAAAAAGAAAAAATAAATATTGACATATACTACCACTTTAAGTATACTGTCCTCCTGAAGTTTAATACAATAAGGAGAAATAGTAAACATTAAAATTAATCAATAGTACACAGATAGTTTTGCTATACAACAAAACTCATCACATCTTCATAGATAAAATTCCCTCCGATGTTCAAAAGCAATTAAATAGCTATCATTACTTCTTACATCAAGAGGTATATATGCTTAATTGTAGAAACTAAAGAAATAGGAGTCGAAATTGCTAATTTCAGCAATTAACAGTACATGAGAAAAAAGAAAAAAACTTAGATAAATAAACTTCAGTAAGAGCTACAGGATTTCTTCCTTCTGACGTATTCTCTTTAAATATGAAAAACCTACAGATATTATATATTTTTTTTGGTCTCAATATTACTTGTATGAGGAATCACTGTTCCATTTCTGGAACCCTGCTCATGTCACTTTACTTTAATTTTATTATAGATTTTAAGTTCTTAAATAAATTATAATAACAAATCTTTTCAAATTGATTCTTTGGTAATTGTAAACTATATCTAATAACTACATTTTTTGTTTTTGTTTTGAGACACGTATGTTGACAAGGCTGGTCTCGTACTCAACATCCATCTAACTCAGTCCCCTGACTAGTTAGGAATAGAGGTGTTCTCCACCACATACAGCTTATATATTAAAGTTGATTCGTGGGGACTTTTGAAAATTACAAGAGGGAAGATGAAACAAAAGGAGGGGTCAAAAAAGGGAAGAGGAGGGGAAAAGGGTGGAAGAAAAAAAATCTGCCAGTATATGGACAGTTAAGCACTATACAAGAAGGTCCATTCAATCCTAAGTCTCTCCTGTTGCAAGAGTTGGTTTCATTCGAAACTAGAATCTGATTCTATACTTTTTCCATTCTGCACTGAAAAGGGCATCTTTAATGTATATAAAATTCAACAGTACAAAACTAATTCACTTGAGAACTGGTAATGACAAATACTAATTATTACCTATGTGCATACCTGTGTATTCATCAAGGCCTTTAGACACTGAATGACTTTGTGTTGATTCTTCATTACAACTTTGTTTTGGCTGTATTAACATAAAAGATACCAATATTAGAATTATAATTGAACATACAAATGTAGATTGACTGAAAATTATTTATAATACTTACGTTTTCCCACTAAGCAGTTTTTCCAAAATGTCTAATAATAATCCAAGCCCTTCATGTCCAAAACTTTCCACCCAACTGAAAAAAGGAAAGGAATAAAAGTAGTTATACATTAAGTCAGTGTTCTAGTTTGGAATACCATGATAATGCTACAGACTGACAATCTAAGAATAGCACCAAATATAAAATCCTTCATGACACATGATCATAGTAGTAAAGTAAAGGAGCAAAGACAGGGTAAGCCAGTGGTGTGCTAAATTCAGCTTGCACTGACTTGTGCAAGCTAACCGTGCCCTTCTCCTCGGGGCTCTATGTTCAGTGACATGATTTATCCAGTATAACACAAGTGCTCACACTACAGAAACTAGCAAAAGCTACCAAGCAGAGCTTTATCCACCATCCATCTGCTAAAAAAACATGGACCAGCACAGCACATCACTGGATAAGCCTGACTTTGAACTATTCTGAAGAGTAGAAATTAAACACATTCAGTGAAGATGTATGAAGAAATAATGGAGACTGACATAAAAATATAAATGAGAAAAAGTAAACAACGGGAAAAGGGATGTTTTAAGAGAATTTTACTTATGATTAAAATGCATGTCTATCACTGTTAAGAGTTTCCTGTTTCTAGGTTCAGTTGCGTTTTTAAAATAACATCTTCAATTTATTTTTCTCCCATTATGTTTGCAGCACATAACGAACACATTCATTGTACAGATTAGTACATGTACATAACACATTTCAATTCCCTTCTTGTCCCCCTCCCTCTACTTCCTTTTATTTTTCTAATACCAGATTCATTTTACAGATTGAAATCCAGGCAAATAGGCCAAAGAACATACAAAACAATTGTACTAAGTCAAGGTACAATTTTAAATACATTATCCATACTGCATGACAAAACCTTTTTCCCTCTTTTTTTCCTATTATCTATCTTCTATTTAGAAATACATACATCCGTACATATATGTGTATATACATATCTTTCTTCATATAAGAGAAACCATGTGATATTGAGTCTGAGTTGATTCACTTAACATTATGATCTCAAGCTGCACCCATTTACCTACAAATGACTCAAGTTTATCCTATTGCAGAGTAATACTCCACTGTGTATAAATAGAACACTTTCTTTATCCACTTGTCTGTTGATGGACATATAAGCTGTTTCCAAGATTTAGCTATTATGAATCACGCTGCTATAAACATAGGTATGCATAATCACTGTGGTATGATGCCTTTAAGTCTTTTGGGAAGATGCTGTACCTACAGGGGGAATACCTGGGTCAAACAGAATTTTTACTTTTAGTTTTTTAAGGAATCTCCATGCTGATTTCTATAGTGGTTGTACTAGTTTACATTCCTCTCAACAATAGAAAAGGGTTTCTTTCTCCCCACAGCCTCACCAGCATTTGCTACTGGTTGATTCCTTGATGGTAACAATTCTTTCTGAAGTAAGACAGAATCTCAGTGTTGAATTACATTGCATTTCTCAAATGTTCAATGATGTTGAACATTTTTTCATGTATTTATTAGCCATTTGTATTTCTTCATCTGAGAAGTATCTAGTCATTTCAAATGCCCACTTTTAATTAGGTCTTTAAATCTGAGGGAGTCTAATTTTTTTGAGTTCTTTATACGGTCTAGATATTAGTCTGAGAAGTAGCTGGCAAAAAAATATATTTCCTGTTATGTAGGTTGTCTCTTTGTTATGTTAGTGGTTTCCTTTGCTGTGCAGAAGCTTTTTTAATTTGATGTGATGTCATTTGTTGATTCCTGTATTATTTCTTGTGCAACTGGGGTTTTGTTCAGGAAATCTTTGTCTACACCTATGTGCTCAAGAGTTTTACCTATTTTGTCTTCCACCAGGTTAAATGTTTCTAATGTTTAGATCTCTGATCCATTTTGATTAAAAACCATCCATTTCCATCAGTATTCCCATTCTGACTACACCTGTTTCACAAAATCGAAGATACATTTATGGTGTATAAGTAACAAGGACATCATTACTACTAGACAGCAGCTGACCTTGATTATAGAAAAACAACCTTGGTAGAAATAAACATATTATTTCTGTGGTAATCTGAAACCTTGGCAAATTAAAAAATATTGGTTATAATCTGCCTCTAAAACATGGAAAGAAAAAGAAATAATAGGACTTGTATGTGTATCTTTGTTTATAAACATGTGTTTATATGTGTGTGTAGTGTTTAACCAGTGAGATTGTAGACACAAAATTTCAACAAATAATCAAAATAGGAAATCATAAAGAATAAAAAAGTCACATGCCAGAAAATACTATTCTCTTAACATACAACACTTCCAATTTTTAAAAAATGAGAAGAAAAGCTGTAGTGATCAAAATAGCATGATAGTGGTTATAAAGACAGACAAACACACCAATGGAAAAGAATGGATAATCCAGAAATAAATCCACATAACCAAACTGGTCCACAACCAATTTTCAGCAAGTTTGCTAATAACATACAGTGGAGAAGAAACAGTCTTTTCAATAGACTGTTGGGAAAATGAGGTATCCATATGCAGAAGAATGAAACTGGCCTCCCATCTCTCACCAGTCACAACAACCAACTCTAAATGGATTAAAGACTGAAAAATAGTAATAAAACTATCCAGTTTCTTTTTAAAAAAAAAAAAAGCATAGAGAAAATACTGGAGGATATTGAAATGGGCAAAAAATTTTTTTCAACAAGATAGCAAAACCATAGAAGCAAACAAAAAAAAAACGAGATAAATGAAACTCAAACTAAAAAGTATCTCTACAGCAAAGAACAAATCATCACAGTGAAGAGATAATCTAATGAATGGAAGAAAGTATTTCCAAACTATATATCTGGCAAGGGGTAATATTCAAGATACATAAGGAATTCTACAAACTCAATAGCAAAACCACAACCAACTAAAAAGTGGGCAACAGGTTTAAAGACTGTGATAAAAAGAAGACATACAAATAGCCAATGGGTATATGAAAAAATGTTCAACATCATTAATCATCAGATAAATGCAAGTCAAAACCACAGAAAGATATCACCTCCCCCCAGTAAGAATGGCTATTATCAAACAGATAAAAGAAATAGGGCATGGTGGCATACAGCTGTAATACCAGCACTCTGGGAGGCCAAGGAAGAAGGATCACAAGTTCAAGCCCCAGCCTGGGCAACTTAGCAACTTAGTGAGATCCTGTCTCAAAATAAAAACACTGGGAATGTAGCTCAGTGTGAAGGCCCTGGTTCAAGCCATAGTACTGTGAAAAATAAAATTTAAAAGATAAAAGACAACAAGTGCTGGCAAGGATGTAGAGGGAAAAGAACATTTGCACACTACTGATTGGAATGTTAAGTAGTACAACCATTATGGAAAACAGTATGGAGGTTCCTCATAAATGGAAAAACAGAACCACTACATGATCCGGCAATCCCACAAACACATACTGGGTATATATCCAAAGACAATACAAGCATTATGTTGAAGAGACAGCTGAACTCCCATGTACAGCCTATTCAAACTAGCTAAGAAATGGAAACCTAAGTGTCCTGGCATTAGAGACACCATGGACAAACCTAAAGATCACTATGTTAAGTGAAATAAGCCAGGCACAGAAAGACAATTATCAAGTGATCTCATGTGTGCAATTTAGAAAACATGACCTCATAAAAGTTGCAAATAGAAGGGGGGTTGGTTACTAGTGATTGGCAGGGAGTAGGTGGAGGGAGGGAAGAATGGAAAAGGGTACTAAATCAGAGTTAGGTAACAGCAGAAATTTTAGCATGCTTACTGGGTAATTACAGATAACAATTATGTACTGTATATCTCCAAAAGCCAGAGGAAAGCATTTTAAATACTTTTACCATAAAGAAACGATAAATGGGCAGGAGATTTAGCTCAGTGGCACTGGGCCTGCCTCACAAACGCAAGGTCGTGAGTTTGATCCCTGGTACCAGAAAAAAAAAAAAAGAAAAAGAAATGATAAATATTTGAAAAGACAGACATGCTAACCATATTTAAACATTAATATAATGTATATGTATCAATATCACACAGCATCCCATTCTATTTAAGTTCTCATCAGTGAAAAAAATTAAGTTTAAAAAAACACATTGTTTAAAATGAATGTAATGCTGGCAAAATAAAAGAGGGGTAGAGGGAAGGGAAAAATTAAGAATTGAGATGTGTCATGTACATGTACCAATTCCCTACAATGAATGTAATAATCATTGTGTACCACAAACATGTACTAATAAAATTTAAAAATAAATACAATAAAATAAAAATGAATCTTCCTCATTTGAGCACTCTGTAAGCACGGCTTGGCTACCCATAAATTTTCAAAACTGATGATGGTAGAAAAAGGAAAAAGCAAATGTCTTTCTAAGGAGTAAATTTCTTACCATTGAGATTGGCAGGCTACTGTAAGACTACTTTACTTAGCCCTTCTCTGCCCAGGAAAAGCCTTGGAATGATTAAATCAAGAATGTACATAGACAGGAAAGATATTCTCTACAAAAGACTTAGCTATTAACAATGAGGTAAAACACAAAGGAGAAGTTGCTGTTTTCAAACTAAGAAGCTACTTCAAACATGAAGAGTTTACTGTTCTCTATCAGCAACAGACAGATCACCTGTAGGCATTTCAAATCCTGCTTTCATGTTTCACGAAAATACCTACAGCATCTGCTTAACTGTTGGCCTTGTTGACATCCTATGCTGTATTTATTCTTATTTCACATGCAGCATGGAAGCTTGAAATCAAACATGTAAGGAGTAATTGGAGAGCTTTACTTGGCTGGTATTGAGATGCATGGAGAGTCTATGTTCATCAGACCCTCTTATGTTAGTACTTCCCAGTGGGCCTTCAATATTTTGTTTGAAGTGAATTTTCAACCATCTCTGTATTCAAAAGTATATCCATACAGATATTCTAAAGCTAATATGAATGATTTAGGGCTTTTTATACTTCTATCACCTTCAATCACTGTACAGAATAAAGTTATATTCACAAAACTGCCTTACACCAAAATACACAAAGTAATTTCAAATCATGTTAATATAACCAA